GCAATCCCATCACTGGGTATATACCCAAAGGATTATAAATCATTCTACTATAAAGAGACATGCACATGTATGTTTACTGCAGCACTATTTACAATAGCAAAGACTTGGAACCAACCCAAATGCCCATCAATGATAGACTGGATAAAGGAAATGTGACACATACACACCATGGAATACTAAGCAGCCATAAAAAAGAATGTTCATGTCCTTTGCAAGGATATGGATGAAGCTGGAAACCATCATCCTCAGCAAACTAACACAGAAACAGAAAACCAAACACCGCATGTTCTCACTCATAAGCAGGAGTAGAACAATGAGAACATACGGACACAGGGAGGGGAACATCACACACCGGGGCCTGTCGGGGGAGGGGGAAAAGGGAAGGGAAGCATTAGGACAAATACCTAGGCTTAAAACCTAGATGACGGGTTGATAGGTGCAGCAAACCACCATGGCACATGTATACCTATGTAACAAACCTGCATGTTTAGCACATGTATCCCAGAACTTAAATTAAAAAAATACGTATTAAAAAAAACTCAAAAAAAAAAAAAAAAAGGATAATGCTATGAACAACTTCATGCTTACAAACTTGACAGATGATTAGAAAAAATGGACCGATACCTCAGAAAACACAAACTACCAAAATTCGGTCACAACAAAAATGATAATCTAAATAGTCTTATAACTATTCAAGAATGAATTTTGTTATTTAAAGTTCTTGAAAAAAAAAATCTCCTGGACCAGAGAATTTCACCGGAGACTGTTACACCAAATAGTTAAAGAATTAACACCAATTTTACACAGTCCCTTCCAGAAATTAGAAAAGGGAATAATTTCCAACTCATTTAATAAGGCAAATATTACCTTGATACCAAAACCATACAAACACAGCATTAAAAAAATATAAACCAATCTCTCCTTACTTAAATACAAAAATCCTTGAAATTTTAGCAAGTCACATTCAACAATGTATAAAAAATAGTAATAATGCACAATAACTGACATTTATAGATAACTACATTTAACAACAGAAAACATTTTCTTTAAATGCCCATGAATCATTCATAAAGACAGGCAATATCTTGGGTCACAAAACAAATCTTCATAAATGTAAAAGAACTGAAATTACACAGTGCATACTTTTCATAAAGGAATCAAGATCAGAAATTAATAGGTAAAAGATAAGAAATTAGCAAACACTGAAAAATTAACACACTTCTAAATAACCAATAGGCGAAAGTCTGAAAAGATATTTAAAAATACACCAAAATAAGTGAAATGAACAGAAAATACAAGACACAAAACATGTGGAATGCAGCTACAACAGTGCTGAGGGGGAAATTTATGCCAAATGAATACATTTGAAAAGGGAAAAAGAGCTCAAATCAATAATACATCATGACCACATGGAAATTTTATGCAAGGCTGGTTAAACATTCAAAAAATCAATCTGTATAAGCCACCATATTAACAGATTAAAGAAGAAAAATCATATGATCATATGGATTTATGCAAAAGATGCATTTGACAAAATCTACATTACCCATGATTAAAATTCTCAGCATATTGGCAGGAAAAAATTTCCCAACCCTATGAAAAACATCTACTAAAAACTTACAGCTAACATCATATACTTAATGTGAAAGATCAAATGCTTTCTAAGAGCAGGAACAAGGCTAGAATTTTCACCCCGTCGTTTTTTTGTGTTTGTTTGTTTTTTGTTGTTGTTTTTTGAGACAGGGTCTGACTCTGAACCCAGGCTGGAGTGTGGTGGCACTAGCACAGCTCACTGCAGTCTCAACCTTTTGGGCTCAAGTGATTCTCCCACCTCAGTCTCCCAAGTAGGCAGGGTTACAGGTACCTGCCACTGCACAGGCTATATTTTTGTGTTTTTTTGTAGAGACAAGTTCTCACTACGTTGCCTAAGCTGGTATCAAACATCTGGCCTCAAGCGATTCTCCCACTTCAGACTCCCAAAGTGCTGGAACTATAGGTCTACGCCACGGTGCTTGGACCCATCACTGATACTTAATACAACACTGAAGTGTTAGCTAATAACGGTAAGAAAAAGAAATTAAAGACATAAACTAAATTTACCCCAAACTACCCACAATTATTATTTTAAGTGGCACCATACTAATTTCAGTTAAAATCATAGAATAGACATGGGTATCTAATATCATCATTATTAAACAACATTGACTCAGAGATTCTATCAAAGGCAAGCAGACTGAAATAATCAGATTAAATATAATAAATAAAACCTCTCTTTAGCTGATGACATGGTTATATAGCTTAAAGAAAACTAGAAGATTCAAATTTTTAAATGTCTAGAATTAATTTTTTAAAAAACCTTGGTAAGTGCTGAATTAAAATTTTCTTGATATAAAAATTAGCCTCATAATTTAACAAAATGTTCAGAATAGTACAAAAATTATAGTATAGTTAGGATTAACCTTAACAAGAAAGTCAATGACCCAATACTATGAGGGAGGGGAGAATGGGAAGCCAGAAGACAGACTTTATTAAAACATTTTTTATGATAAAACATGAAATTTACCATATCAACCATTTATGAGTATACAATTTAATGGCATTAAGTACATTCATAAGACTGTGCAACCAAGACCATTTCTAGAACTTTTTCATCATCTCAAATTCTGTACACATCAAACATCAAAATACCATTACCCACTACCCTAATCCCCTGCAACCTCTATTCTGCTTCCTATCTCTAAATTTACCTATTATAAATACCTCATGTAAGTGGAACTACAAAATTTTTGCCCTTTTTTGTCTAGTTTATTTCAGTTTGCATGTTTTAATGTGTTCAAGATTTTTCTATGCTATGTTACATAGCAGAACTTTGTTTTTAATGACTAATATTCTATTCTATGTATACATCACATGCTGTTTATCCATTCATCTGTTGACGGACACTTGGCTTGCTTACACCTTTTGAGTATTGTGAATAATGCTGCTAGGAATATTAGTATACAAATGTCTGTTTCCGTCCCTGCTTTCAATTCTTTGGGGTATATATCTAGGAGGGAAGTACAGGGTCATATGGTGGCTCTATGTTTAACTTTTGAGAAACTATCAAACTGTTTTCCACGGTGGCTGCACCATTTTACATTCCCACCAGTGATGCATGAGGGTTTTGATTTATCCGTATCTTCAACACTTATTTTCCTTTTTTTGTTTTAAATAATAGCTAACCTAGTGAGTGTAAAGTGGTATCTTCCTAGGGTCTTGATTTGCATTCTCTAATGACTAAAGATTTCAAGGATCCTTTCATATATTCATTGGCCAATTGCATAACTTCTCTGGAGAAATGTCTATTCAAGTCCTTTGCTCATCTTTTATTTGGGTTGTTTGGTTTTTCTGTTGTTGAGCTGTAGAAGTTCTTTATATTTTCTGATTATAAATCTCTATCATCCTTATCAGGTAAATTATCTGCAAATATCTTCTCCTAGTCTGGTTGCCCTTTCACACTCTTGACAGTGTCCTTCAGATTATTATTATTATTATTTTTATTTTTGGAGACAGGGTCTCACTCTGTCGCCAGGCTGGAGTGCAGTGGCGCAATCTTGGACTCACTGCAACCTCCACCTCCTAGGCTCAAGTGATTCTCCTGACTCAGTCTACCGAGTAGCTGAGATAACAGGCACCTGCCACCACGCCTGGCAAATTTTGGTAATTTTAGCAGAGATGGAGTTTTACCACATTGGCCACGGTGGTCTCAAACTTTTGACCTCAATTGATCCTCCTGTCTCAGTCTCCCAAAGTGCTGGGATTACAGGCATGAGCAACCACTCCTGGCCCCAAATTAACATTTTTTATAAGAAAGAAACAAAATTTATTTTGTAAAAAACCTAAATAACATAAAAAATATGAATTCTCACAAAATTACTACATATATTAAATGCAATTCTAGTTAGAATTCCAAAAGTTTATTAGGAATTGGATAAAACTAAAAGCTCATAGAAAGAAAAAAGGCTGCAGAATGGCAGTGGAATAGTGAAGGTATTTCTCTTTATATCAGGACATACTATAAAGCTACTATTAGTAACAAGAGTATGTGTTGGCAGAGAAAAAAATACATCAAAATTCAAAAGTACGTTGAATGTTACGTGAGATTTAATATAGAATAAAAGTAGTACATTTAGAAGAGAACAGATTTTTTTTTAATTTAATAAATAGATCTGACACAACTGACCACCCAGAAGAAAACAAACTTAGAAGATTGTCATGTAATATACCGAAACACATTCCAAATGGTTAAAGACTTAATTTTTTTTTTCAGATGAAAAATCTAAGTTGGGATAAGACAGAACTTTTAACTACAACAAACTTAAAGCTATAAAAGTCACACATTTAATAATTAAAATCCAACGGCCAATAAACATAAGGTGCTCAAACTCTGGCAATCATGGAAACGGACACTAAAGTCAAAATGAGATTGCTTAATATCAATGAATGGGCAAAAACATGGAACAGTAAATAGACTATCAGGTAAAAGGTACTTTACACTATTAGTGTAAAAGGAAATTATAATAGCCTTTTCTGAAAGCAGGTACAGGCACAGACACATACAAACACATATGCTTTTTTTTTTTCATTTATGGGCACCAATTAAGGTATAGAATGATTCAAAGGCTACCTCAGCAGAATGATAGGAGTAATGACTAAATTCTTATTTTAAACCTTTATTAACTCAATGGAGTAATATAACACTCTTTTAATCTGAAAAATGAATATAAATAAAACTTTAAAAAGTAGTAGCACATATCACTGACTAAAGGAAATGGAGAAGAGAGAAAAAGAGCACTGACCATGGAGTTGTAAGGAAATCAAAAACGAATTCATCCATTTCACAATTCACAATTCTGTCTAGGCTGACCCTGACCTTCATACTCAAAGGAACACATGCACCATTAGCATTTCTCACTTTTTAAATATATCCAAGCAAATAATGCCCATGGAATGCCACCAACCTGATCTGTTGGTGGCTTCACTTGGTTCTACAACAAACTGCAGAGAGGCTTCTTTCTTCCTTGAAGAAACTGGAACTGACTTTGGATGTGATTTCTGGCACTGAGCACAGAAGAAATACAACATTAGAACTATTTTATTAACTTACCAATTCTGATGAAATATATTTGTTTTTTAAATGGGGGGAAAAACAAGTATTCTAAAACAACAAACCAGCTGTTACGAGTTTTATGCTACTTTTTATTTTATTTCTAAAGTAATAGCTACTTTGGAAAACAATTTGGCATTATTCAGTAAAGCTGAAATTTCATACAACCTATCACAGAAACAGTATGGCTCTAAACAGCAAACAACTATGTGTATAGAAGACTGAATAAACTTATTGAATAAATATAGTATAGATATATCATATTACATATGTAACAGTGGACCAAATAAACTACAATAATATAAATTATTATTTTAACCAGAAAAAAAAGCAAGCTGCAGAAGTACATAACAATCCTATCTATGTAAAGTTCAAAACAGCCACATAAAACACTACAGTATTTAGAGATTCATTCTGCAGGAAAGAGTTAACGTAGCAGTCCTGATATATTTAAAGGGCCAGCTTACAGGGCTACCCCTTGGTTGGCATCCGGAAACTTGACTTTTAGAATGTTCCCTCCATTACCAGCAGAGAAGGTTGCACCTGCTATGCCAGCCTGCCTAGACTGTTTGCATAAACACTGTGATTTGTGGTGAACAGCTGCTTTCTTTCCTTCTGGGAGTGTGTAAAATTTTGGTAGGCATAGGGTGCTTAGATCAATCCCCAGCGAAAACAGGCTGAGTTTCAAAAGGCTTCTCTGAGGAGAAAGAATATATACACGTTACTGCATTTCACTGCTGGAAGGAATGAGTACACTCTATATGGCCCGCTGGGGAGCACAGGAAGCCTATACATGGATTCCTCCAGACTCTGCTAATGTACATTTTTCCCTTACTGACCCAGCTGTGTATCCTGGCTGAATGACTATAATAAGTATCGGTCATGAGTTCAACTATATGTCAAGTCTGCCGAGTCCTTTTAGTGAAGCACCCAAATGTGGATGGTAGTGGGACCTCTGTCACAAGTGGTAGCAGAAGTGTGGACACAGTATTGGCACAGTACAGAAATGAATAAATGACAGGCTGATATGGTTTGGCTGTGTCCCCACCCAAATCTCAACTTGAATTGTATCTCCCAGAATTTCCCTGTGTTGTGGAAGGGGCCCAGTGGGAGATAACTGAATCATCAGGGCCAGTCTTTCCCGTACTATTCTCATGATAGTGAATAAGTCTCACGAGATCTCATGGATTTATCAGGGGTTTCCACTTTTGCTTCTTCCTCATTTTTCTCTTGCCACCACCACGTAAGAAGTACCTTTTGCCCTCTGCCATGATTATGAGGCCTCCGAGCCATGTGTAAGGCAAATTAAATCTCCTTTTCTTCCCAGTCTTAGGAATCTCTTCATCGGAAGTGTGAAAATGGACTAATACACAGATCCACTACACTGTTGCTGAGTGACCACAGTATGGAATTCAATTCCATAAAAAGACAGAGGCAGGCTTTCATTTCATCTCTGCTCCCTCTTAATATCTCATTAAAGATTTTTAAAAACAAACTCAGAAGGATGAAGAGAAAGACAAAGGAGTAGATGAGACATGTCAGCAAACATTTTTAGGTTGAAAAGCAAATTACTGGTAATTAAGCAACCCAGAGAGAATGGAAACATGCTAGCAATGGAGAAAACCCAGAAGCAGACAGATTACTGTTTATGGATAAACCTATAAAGATTAGTAAAATTGCAAGACACCACTAAAAAAAGGGGGCAGGTCAGATGCAGTGGCTCACACCTGTAATCCTAGCACTTTGGGAGGCCAAGGCAGGAGGATCACTAGAGGTCAAGAATTCAAGATCAGCGTGGGAAACTAAGCAAGACCACATCTCTATGTAAAAATAAAAAATTAGCCAAGAGTGGTGGTGCATGCTTGTGGTCCTACGTACTCAGGAGGCTGAGGCAGGAGGATCACTTGAGCCCAGAGGTTTGAGGTTACAGTGGGCTATGTGCACGCAACTGCACTCCAGCAACAGTGCAAGACCCTGTCTGAAAAAACAGAAGGGGCACGTAAACAGAGGGTGTTAAAAGTGCGTATAGTTGAATGTGTCTTTTGTCAGAGAAAAAAAAAAGTGTGTATAGAAAGTAGTAAAACTGGCTGGGCGCAGTGGCTCACACCTGTAATCCCCATACTTTGGGAGGACGAGGCGGGTGGATCACCTGAGGTCAGGAGTTCGAGACCAGCCTGACCAATATGGTGAAACCCTGTCTCTACTAAAAATACAAAAATTAGCCAGGCATGGTGGCAGACACCTGTAGTCCCAGCTACTCGAGAGGCTGAGACAGGAGAATTGCTTGAACCCGGAGGCGGAGGTTGCAGTGAACTGAAATCGTGCCACTGCACTCCAGCCCAGGAGACACAGCGAGACTCCGTCTCAAAAAAAGAAGGTAGTAAAACCGAGAAGCCCCTCCCAAACCTATCAGAAGATTAGGTATTTACTCTCTTGAGTTTCTAAATCAGAGAGACTGTGACATTAGTGGCATAAGATACAGCTGAAGTTAAGGGCAATACATGAAAACCAGAGATATTAAGTAGGAGCATTCAAACTGTACTTTCCCCTCTGCCACATCTGACTGAAATGGAAAACAATCACAGTTAGACTCCAACAGCCAAGTGGGAGAGATTTCTTTGTCAGAAATACTTACCAGGCCAAGAGAAAAGAAAACTACAGATATTAACACCTGGACATCAACAATGAAATGGACCAAACTACACCACGGTGACATCCACCAGTTTACAAATTTTACTAGGCATATAGAGCTTGCAATGCATTTTAGTTTCCCACTTTCAAACAAGAAGAGATAGCTAAGGATCACCGGACATATGAAAAAAGGCCAGGTAAGGAGCAAAGTCAGTAAAAAAGGTACTTGCAGAAAACAGAAACTGAAGAAATATGTATGAAAATGGTTAGAAGAACCTAAAGTCAAGGAATATAATAAAAATTTAGATCACTAAAGACAGAGGACATGATCCTAAAAGCCTGCAAAGAGGAAAAAAATAGTCACAAAGGATCATGAAATCAAAACAGTATTCTCAACAGAGAAGCTAAAATAAAAGAAAGCAACATTTTTAAAAGTCTAAGGGAAAATATACCTGACTAAAAGGGAGGCTTGACATGAAAAAAATATACTATTTTTTAATTAAAGGAAAATAATTTCTAATCTAGAATTCTGTACTCACCCAAATTACACATCATGAAGGTAAAACCATGGTATTTTTAAACAATTAAGGTCTTAAATTCTCAGAAAGCTGCTAAAGGGTAAGTCCCACCAAAAAAGGAGAGGCCAAGAAAAAAGGAAGATTTAAGATCCAAGAAATAAGAGTTGCAATTCAGGAGAAAAGCAAAGGGACTCCCTGTGATACAAGAAGAGTACATGACAAAACCTATCTAACAGGTCTAAGGGTAGATTGCAGAAAAAAAAAAAAAAAAGAAAAGAGCAGAGATAGAAAAGCTGAAAATGATAAATTAATGTGTCTACATATACTAAGACATTTATACTTAGACTTTTGTCATAGAAAACTGGTGACGAATTAGTCATAGGTGCACAGAAAGTCAAAAATGGAAAAACCAAAATTAAATCAAGAGAAAACTAAGAGCTGTACATAAAGAAAATTTAACCATTAGTACTCTACATAGCTGTGACTACTGAAACAGTCGTAATAATACCGCAAACACTAAATACTAATCCTACTAAAAATTATGTCGTACTAAAGAATGGAAGTTTATGTGTTGTGGTGGGAAGTAGAAACTATATGACAAATAGTCTAAATTTCCATAGTAGAAAGCCAATAAATAATAGCAAAGACTGAAAAAAAAATCAAGAAACAGCAATATAAACATTATTTAGAAATATGGAGTCAAAATACCTGGAAGAAATAGCTAAGACTAAGAAGTTGGACTTGGAGGAGGAAAAGAGGGCTCTACTGTTTTTTTGTGGAATTTATGGAACTATTTTAACTACCATGTACATAATGCCTTTGAGTTTTAAAATCATTCTTCCAACAAATTAAGAAGAAAATTATGTAAAAAGATAGGGAACAGAATAAAATAGTGAACCAGAATAGACTGCTGATTCTTCGAAAATGCTAATGACAGAAAAATACCTCTAACAACACAGATTATTTAAAAAGGTGAAAATCAGCAATAAAAAGAGAGTACTAACTATGAGAAAGATCATAAAGTTAACTATACACAAACTGAGGACAGAGGAAATATTTCAAGAAAATTATAAAATGTCAAAACTGGCAAAAGAAATACAAAAAATGTAACAGATCATTAAATAAAGTGGTAATCACAAACACCCCACCAAAACAGCCCCAACCATGTTTTACAAATGATCTAAATTTGAAGAAACAAATCATTTTTGCTTAATCAAGTTATCCCAGAAAACAGAAGAGAAAAACTAATTTCTTTTATGAAGTTCGGCTGTGTTTCAGATAAAACCTAAGGAGTCGTATCTTATTTTACTTAAAGACAAACAAATATGAAGTAATAACTAGACCTAGGAATCTCAAGTTCTCAAACAGAAAAGCCTGTAAGATAGGTAAGTCTTAAGTCTGATTTTATTTTCAAATCAAGTAACGTGGAAGGCCTGGGCCAAGCTTGCTGCATGGAAAGGATCTACCTGAAAAAAACCCCGAACACCTACAAAGTCTCTGTTGTTTGGAAGCATCCATCTCAAGGATTAGAAAAAAATTAATAATATAAAAATAAAAATAAAGAATATATGAAAAATAAAATTAAGAAAAAAATAATGAAACTAAAAACAATCAAATGAGAGGACCAACAAAGCCAAACTTGGTTTTCTGAAAGACCAAAATTGATAAACCCTGACAAAACTAATCAATGAAAAAGACAAGGCATAGCAGTTTTGTGGCATGTGCCTCACGAGCAGTAGTCCCAGCTACTCCGTAGGTTAGGGAGGATCACTTAAGCCCAGGAGTTCTAATCCAGCTTGGGCAACATACCAAAATCCCTACATCTAATCAAAAAAAAAAAAAAAAGATAAGGCATAAATAACCAAAGTCAGGAATAAAAAAGGGGATATAACTGTAGATTCCACAGACATTAACAAGACTGTAAAAAGACAAGACAAAGAGAGACATAAGACATATAAGACACATTCTAAGTCATTTAGAAGTCACTGTAGTGGACCTTGGCTTTAGAGCACAGAGTCTTGCTCTCTGTCTTACATGACTTAAATGTATAAATTTTCAAAATGTCTTAAAAGGGACCAGATTTACCCTTCTGCCTGAATCAATTTTAAAAAAAGAAAAAGTATACAAGATTCTCAAGAAATATGAAACTGAAAAACCAAAAAGAATGATTACTGAGATGGTAAACAAATGAGGTGAACCCTCTCATCACCCATTTCCAGGATGTGACACAGGAGAAATCCTCAGTTGAGGAGCCAAAGCTGAGGATTCAGGAAGACGAAAGTGGTTAGAATTTGCAGGGTAAAGTACTGGACAGGAGACAGTTACATAGAGAAAACTGCAGAATGTGCAGATCTCTCTCAAGCATTCAATCAAACATTGATCAGAGAAAGTGTCATAGGAAAACCAGAGAAAGAACCACCTGAAGCCTTCAGGGGGAATATCCTCCCAGTTACAAAGGACCTAGAATAATGCCTGTACCTACCAGCCAGAGTGGAAAACCTCCATAAATAACGGCACACAGTAAAGAAGAATTTTGCCTCAGAAGGAGAGAAAATTAGCTACAGACTATATTTTGCTAAGATATGGCTTCTCATATCTCTAAAATTTGTTTCCATTTTTTTTAAATAGCTGCCTTAGCAGGAGTATTAGCCTTCTGTGACTTATTGCATTCTACCTAGAAGAGGAACCTCTAGCATAACCTTGATACCAAAGCCCTGTAAGAACATTAAAAAAAAAAAAAAAAAAGACAGTATTATTCATAAACATAGATGCAAACATCTTCAGTATTAGGCAAACATAATCAAAAAAAGTTAATACTTTATGACCAAGTCAAGTTTATCCCAGAAAACCTCAAGTTGCTTTAACTTTCAAAAACCATTGTAATTTATGTTTCAGAAGGTCTCTCAATTCTGAAAGAAATGGTTTTGTCTTCATTCCTTGGAACCAAAAGGCTACATATGTTTAATATGTTGATTGTCTTTTACAGTTTGTATATGATTTTTCTAATTAGTACTGTGCTTTTGAATAATTTGCCTTAGATTAGCTTCAAATACTTTATTTGAAACTCTGCTGTTTAGTATAGTTAAGTCAACCAATACTTTATTTCTGATCAAACTAACAGCAAGCAATTAAAACATATAATCAATAGAAAACTGATTTCCCCATATAGCAATGAAGTGCCTTCATTTATTAGAATATAACCAACCCTGTCAACCTGATTAGCAACTTCGATTGCTGCCCATTTTCCTAAAAATCTAATTTGACTATTATTTTAGGGAAGTGAAAAATGTTTGTTATAATTTGATAATTCTAATTCCCATAACCCCAATTCCAACACAGAAAATATCAAATAAAACTTTTCACAAAATACCTCCTAATTTTACAGAAAGTCAACGGGAATATAGAATTCCTTTTCAAGAATAAGACTTACAAACAACTAAAATATACTTAAGTATATTGTGTATATACCTTCATTCATTAAAATATTAAACCTATACCAGCTCTTCTTCATCACTTACCTCTTTGCTTCGTGACTGAATACAAGTGTCTTTTATTTTGTGTGTGGAATAAAGCACTGATTTTGTAGAATTTGTACTAAAATCATTGGCAAGACCTAAAACAAAAGTATGAAATTTTCAAAAACAAGATATAGTGTAATATCTATTAGTTACAATTAAAAGTAGCTGTATATGACATGTGACTCACTGACCACAATTAGCTTCAATCAAGTAGAGACCTCAGTTCAAGATTCAAATGTTCCTGAGAAGCATCAGGAAATGAGAAAAGCAAACAAAACACCTGAAGTATCAATATATGCCGGTTCTTCTTTCAGAGCTTGTACAGAAAGCATTCTTTTCTGTCAAGTGCCCCTATTTCTTTGGGTGGCTTATTCTCTTATTCCAATACCTGCTGATGTTAATCAGCAACTGGAAAAGTTTTTGCAGTAATTTATGACTTCCTTCAACAGATATGTAAATCATCAAAGATTATCTCAAATTCTCCAATGATCCCAACAATTCTACACATCTGTTTTCATTATCTATTTTTTCTGGCTGGATGCAGTGGATCATGCCTGTAATCCCAACACTTTGGGAGGCTGAAGAGGGCAGATCACTGAAGGGCAGAGGTCCAAGACCAGCCTGGCCAACATGGTAAAATGTGGTCTCTACTAAAAAATACAAAACTTAGCCAGGCATGGTGGCACACACCTGTAATCCCAGCTACTCGGACGGCTGAGGAACAAGAATCACTTGAACCTGGGAGACAAAGGTTGCAGTGAGTTGAGATAGCGCCACTGTACTACAGCTTGGGTGACAGAGTGAGACTATGTCTCAATAAATAAATAAATAAATAATAAAATACTTTTCTTATGTATAATTATGTACGGACTTCTAGATTACAGTAATCTAATGTGAACTAAAGGGGATGACAAATTATTGTCAAATTATTATTTTTGTCAGTATTATCCTAAGTATACCAGAAGGTACACAAAGGATTGCATATGAACTCAAAATACCAGGGAAAACATTTTACATATATTTAAACCCTATAGGGTTTAAATTTTTTATTTTTTATTTGCTGCATTTGGCATTAATTACCATGACAAATTCATATTTTCATCCATCTAACCCTCAAATTCCATCTTGAAATGAAGACTTACTTTGTTCTTCAAAACAGTCTTGTAAGATTTCCAGAACATTCTGGCCTTGCTGTGTGTTAATGTCACGTGCCCTAATAAAGAAAGGAAAAATACAGCCTATCATTTTCAGAAGATATTTCTTTATATTACCATCTATTTGAAAATTCCACATCTCATTGTAAAATATTAATTTACTTAATATGTAAAATATCTTTACTATCTGAAGACAAAACAAGTACTTGAGGGTCTATACATTCTCTGAACTGAACTCTTTCCGTCCTAATAAGAATTAGTATATCATAATCTACATTAATAATTAATATTTCTTAGTTGAACAGCCATGTCTAAAGCTGTTTTAGATTACTGCTGTATCTCAAAAACACAAATTTTTTTGAATGAATCCAATCAGTACTGAAATGCTTCTTTAACAGACTTTACAGTCACATCTCCAAATAACAGATTCCTCCCTATAAATTCTCAAATGCATTTTTGATTCAGTATCATTGATTAATCTTAAGTTTATGAATCAGTATAAATTTTAATTAAAAATTATATTGAGCTTGTAGATTCACACACAGCTATACAACATAATAGAGATCCCTTGTTCACTTTACCTAGTTCTCCTCAGTGCTAATATTTTGCAAAACTATAGCATATCATCACAATCAGGATACTGATACTGATAAAATCTACCAATGCTATTCTGATTTCTTCAGTTCTACATGTGCTCATTTCTGAATATACTTATGTTTGTATTTATTTCTACACAATGTATCACATCTGTAAGTTCAGATAAAACAACCAGAGTCAAGATACTGAATAGTTCCATCATCACAAAGATCCTCTATTGTCCTTTTGTAACCATAACCACCTTCCTCTCATCTCCTTCCTGCCTCCTCTCATTCCCACCTCTGGCAACTACTAATCTGTCCTCCATTTCTAAAATTCTGTCATTTGGAAAAAATTATATGTAACTAGAATCATACAGTACGTATCCTTTGGCCTTGGCTTTTTTCACTCAACACAATTCTATGGAAATCAAGTTGAATGTATCAATATTTCATTGCTATTTAGAGTCAAGTAGTGTTCCATGCTATATGTGTACCACAGTGTTTAACCATTTACCTGTTGAAGAACATCTGGATTTCAATCAGTAAAAAACTGACATGCATCTCTAACAGGGTGGACAAACTTTTGCTTAAAGGGCCAGATGGTAAATATTTTAGGCTTGTAAACAATAGTTTCTGTCACAACCAGTCGACTCTCCCATTCTAGCCCGAAAGCAATCACAGACAGTATGTAAAGAGGCATGGCTGTGTTCCAATAAAAAAATTGAAACAAAACCTGTGACAAAACATTTGGCTGGCCTATCAGCCAGAATTTACTGATCCCTGATCTACAACATTCCTATTATTCTTGAGAGCTCGAAAAGTACTATATATGCAGTAAAGATTGTGAGCCACAGTGCATTATCAGGTCATCCGTCATAAAGTTTCATAACTGAAAGATCTCAGATATCATCCAGTCCAATAATTATCCAAATAGATGCATAAGTTACTTTTGGAGCTTTGCAGAAATACACATAATTGGTCACTTCCTAGAGACCAATTTAATCAGATTTCCTAGGGTGACGGAGATAATTCTGAGGTGCAAATCTAGTTAAAAACCACTAGGCTGAATCCTATGCCCTCATTTTGCAGACAGGCTAACTGCAATCCAAAATGGTCAAATGGCCTACCTCAGTTTGTAAACCTAATTAGTATTAGTGGCCGGTTTTCTACCAGAATATATATATAGCTGACTGTTACAAATTCTGGCCTTGACACCACCCCAAAATACCACCTACAGCTATAAATACACTCCTACTATTACCTATTTCAAGGAGGAGATCCAGAAACATCAGATTTTCCAAGGTGATAATGCAGAGTCACTATTAGAACACAGGTCACATTAGTCTAGGCAACAGCTTTTTCAAAATTTATCAAATTCATCTTTTCTTCCCCCTTGTCATTATTACCTTAGCATAAAAGCACCTCCATCAAGTCTAGATTACTATAACCCCTTCCTTAAGCTACTCTGTAAACATCAAACATCTTTGCTTTTTTAAATGTGTGTGTGTGTTTACATCAGATAGCCCTTATTCCACAGAAGATTTAGGACAGCTTATTCAAATCTATAATAGATACCTAAGCCTAACATATCCATTTTATGGCTCAATCCAACTCATATGGTCTTGTTTTCCACTTCTACCCAACATATTCAACCTTCTTAAATCAGGTTTCTGCTACCGACAAATGTATGTATTCCTACTTTGGTTCCTTTGCTAAGTTACTTTCTATGTCTGGAATGAACTTTATCTTAGTCTTTAAATACCTAACCTATTCAAGGTCCACCAAAGTTACACTACAACTTTAAAGCTTTTCTTAATATCAACAACACAGAATTCCCTAATTTCTCACATGGCTGTCTATACTGCAAGTTAATGCCTAATTATATATAGGCGTACTCTCTCTGACACACAAGTCATTACTTCAGTATTATAAGTACTAATTTTTGTCCATTAAAGTATTTCACAAATGTACATATACATCTTCCCAATAGAAATGAAAGCTTCTTGGAAGCAAAATAACATACTTCTGTGCCCTATCGGACCTACTAAAATCACAGCTCAATAAACAAGATGTTATTCAAATAACATCTTCACTTTTAAGAACATGCTTTTCATCCTATTACTAGTAAATATTTAACTAGAAAATTTACTTTTTACAGGTTTTACAACTAAAAGAAGGACCAAAACAACCCAAATAAGCATCCAACAAATAAATGCATGATAGCATGTATTATTTTTGTTTTTGCCCCACTGAATAAGCTACATCCTTCTAATTTTACCATTTGATTCATTCTACAAAATGCTTTTCCCATGGCAGTCACTTAGTCAGAACTGAGATTCCCTCTTCCTGTTTCCACTATTTTATCAGGTGAATTTCTTTTTTCACAGCCACAAAGTCACTGCACTGCTTGCATTAACATTCCGTTAGTATAAGATGACTACCCTTAATCAGTGGGCATAGAAATCATTATTTTAGTCAGAGGTGATAGTTTTTCCTTTCTTCATTTAAAAATCTATTAACGATGAGAATAAAAATAATCTTAAAAGCTTAAGTATATAAATCACCTGGAAGGTCGACAAAATCTTCTTCTGTAGCCATTTTTGAGATGATCCTGAAAGAAAAGTAAATCATCCATTTGGTTTAAGATATAGCAGAATAAAATTTATTTTCAAAGTAACTTCATCCAGCATGGGCATGCTATACACCAAATATCTCCTAAGGGCTCAAAACAATTCTAAGGTTATGATAGGCATTTAAAAATTGAACGGCCGGCATCTGGTAAGCTTTATTCCCCTTCTCTCCCCACAGTGAGAATGGCTTTATTGCTTTTTTCTGATTATATATAATGTAAACAATATATGTGCTCATAGTAAAAAGTATAGATTATATTATTCTTTCATACAACTCTTTATGTTTATATGTATAACGTCACACAATGGGAGATCATCGAAGCTGAAGAAGAGGAGATAAATTAGAAAAGAAATGATACGGGTTTGATTTAGCAACCATAACCAAAGTATGAAATATAGAATAGTGAACACCAAAGAAGTCCAGAAATATGTAAACAAAATATGAGTTGCCGCCCCCATTAGTCATTTACAGCTTGTACCTTTTAACTAATAGCTGTCTTTAAGAACACTGTCGATAACTGATGCTCCATAAATCAGCCTCAAGAACTGCATATAAGGCCACCATTTTGACAGAAGAACTGAAAACGTCAAACTATTTCGGGACATACTTGTTACATAATCTGTTTCTCCCAACTAGCAAGTGTGACGCAAAGGCACATTTTTAAGGCGTTTCAATACTTCTACCATGGGGAGAAAAGTATTTGGCGGACTAGGAACTGGAGCTAGACTAAAAAGCAGACGCCAAGATCGCGCTACTGCACTCCAGCCTGGGGGATAGAGCAAGACTCCGTCTCGAAAAAAAACCCCAACAGAAATCACAAGCACCTCTCAAGAGTAAGACGCAGGCACAGACGAAGACACGAAAACTTAAGAAATAATAAAAGTACAGTAAATTAACTCCGATTATCGATACACGATCACACTTGATTTCAAAAATTCCTGCGGCTTTCCCACTGAAATCCCTCATGGACCACAGCCCCAGCCTAGCCTTTCCTTCTCCCCCTCCTCGGGCGCCCGTGTCCCCAGCCAGCCGCTCAACCGCTTGCCTGGAGCGCGAGGGCCCGCACTTACCAGACCCGACGCAGCCATGTTCCGGCCCCGCTGAGCCAGCGCAGGGGTCTGAGGTGGAAGCCCACACGGAGCACAACTCCAGGAGGCCGAGCAAGAAATGAACCGCCAGACTACCAGGCGGCGGCCAAGCAACACCCCTAAGTCGAAGAGTACGGCCGGGAGCGCTGGGATCCGGAAGGCGCGCGCTAACAACACTTCCCCGCCATCAGCTCCGCCCTCAAAAAACAAGAACGCTCGGCGCCTGCATGGGTTTGAACCCAGCCGCACATGCGCAAAACGGGAGGCGCCGTCCAATAGGAAGCAAGCGGTTAGTGAGCTCGCCCCTTCTTGCTCTAAGCCAATGGCCCTCCCGCCCGCAGCTCCGCCCGCCCTATCTCTGGCTGCTCTGCTTTTCCCACCTCCCTTCCACAGCGCCGCGTCGGGGACAGGCGCGAGAGTGGGCCTTTATTTGGAAGGCGCGGTCCTGGGAACCGCTCCTTGTGCCCAATGTAAAACTTCTCAACAGTTCTATTAAAGAATAATAAGTAATACTTGGAAGGATGAGAGGTAGAAATTGAAGACTTTTTTTTTAACAGAATCTTTTTGAAGAGATTTTTCTAATGCAAATTCGTCAGCCACGCCCAACCCATCTAACCATCATCTCTGAAAATAATTGAATAATTATGTGTAATAATGGTGATGATGGCTTGTATTCTTTTTTAAGTATGTGGGTGATGTTTTTATGATGCATTGCCAACAAATGACCCACGTAAATAGCTATCATTTAAGTTATGATGCACTGAAAAGAATTCTATACAGAATCCTGAAACCTGCCAGCCAATAACTAGCTGTGTTATGGGGAGAAAAATTTCGGCACCATTCTGGGTGTTTCCATAGTGATAGAATGGAAGTCTAACTTAGACGCTCTGAAGACTTCTCACCTGACCAGTGTATGATTCTATGAAGCTGTGTCTTATTTTATTATTTAATTTAAAATTACAAGAAAATTCTAATCAGAAAGTAGTTTACTCATTGAATAAATACATTAATCAGGAGTTGAGCTAATAGATTTTTAAAACATGTAGTGCTTTAATAAATGCTGTCACCTATGAAAGCCAATTTTTTATTTTATTTATTTTTTTGATAGGAAAGAAAGAGGAACTATGAACTCTGACAGAAATTAGGCCTAGATTGCACTCCATTCCATTAATTCTGCCATTATGGGCAACTAAGTTATCTGTTCCTTAATTCTCTTGTCTGCAAAATGAGAATAATATTAAGTGGTTGAGATGTTGTAATTGAATAATTCCTGTTAAGATCTACACAAAATGTTTGGAACAGAGTAAGAATTCAATAATAAAGCTATTGTAATCATTATGGAGACACTTTTACTATGTTTGGCAGTTTTGCCAATCAGTCCACATGATATATAATTTGGTACTATCACATTTGGAATAGATAGTAATAAACACTAACATTTATTGAGTGCATACTCTATGCCCAGTTCTGTAAATGCTTCGCATGCATTGAAGAGAACAATTAATATTCCTGTTTTATAAACAAGGGCACTGAAACACAGAGAGGTAAGTGTCTTGCCCAAGATCACATCACCACTAAATGGTAGGATGGGATATTATCCCAAGAATTCTGACTCCACAACTGAGCTCTTAATCACTACACTCTTTGCCTCTGGGTAAGAAATTTTAGCAAGCACACTTATAGATGTAAAGTCCCATATGTAAAATTATATCCTTCTGCTTCCACTGGAAACTAAGTCCCACAGAGGGTTTTGAGAAATTTGAAATGCAATGGCTTGTGCTGCTGTAGAATGCAGGCCACACAGGGTGCTGAGGATGAACTGTTCTAAAGAAAATGGAGCAGCACTCCTATAAAAACAGTTATGGAGACGCCACAGTTTCCAGACAAACGTTTTACTTCCATATTGTTGTAGTGCTTAGTAGCCCCACCATGGTTTTAGTATCCTAAAATAGGATTGCTAATTAATGGGGGGAGTAATATTTATTTAAAAACCCAGGTTTGTCTTTATAAATCTCCCCCCAAAATACATCAAGATTACTTCTTATGAGCTGCTAATGCAATCTTGAAGTTTCTTTCACAACTACTTACCTAGTTAAGGGGGTGTGTGTGTGTGTGTGTACTTACATATCAGTATATGGAAGTATTAACATATACATAATTAGATGTGTATATGGGAACATAAAGTATCCAGAAATTTGTCTTGAAAGAGAAGCAAAAAAACTTTTCATTACTTATGGTTTTAGGTAGATAATTTAAAATTTGTAAATATTAAAATTATTTCAAAGAATATTTTGTTTTAGATCTTTGATTTCCATCAAACAATTATGGTATGAGTATTTACTATCAACGTGTCTTCCGTTAAGTGTTAGCACAAAAATATTCACTACTGAACTAACCACTTAAAAATTAGTCTGTATTCATTCCCATCCCACAAATGTACCTCAATGCAGTGCAATACTCTTCAGCAATAAAAGCAAACTACTGATGTACAATATGGATGAATCTTGAAAGCATTGTACTAAGTGAAAGAAGCTGGATATCAATGACTGTATGAAAAGAAGTCAAATCAATGGTTACCAGGGGTTGAGGAGGGTGGGGGAAAAAGGCTATAAAGGAATATGAGGGAACTTTTTGTAGTGCTGAAAATATTCTATGTCTTGATTATGATGGTAGTTACATGGCTATATCTATTTGTCAAAATTCCTAGTTAGAACTGTGCCCCTGAAAAAAGATGACTTTTTTTTTTTTTTAAACAAGAAAGATCTTGCTCAGTCGCCCAGGCTGGAGTGCAGTGGCACAATCAAGGCCCACTGCAGCCTCGACCTCCTGGGCTAAAATGATTCTCCTGCCTCAGCCTCCTGAATACCTGGGACCACAGGCATGCACCACCACACCCTGCTAATTTTTTTTTTTTTTAATTTTTTGTAGAGATGGGATCTTCCTATGTTGCTCAAGCTGGTCTTGAACTCTTGGGCTCAAGTGATCCTCTGGCTTCTGCCTCCCAATTGCTGGGATTACAGGAATGAGCCACCACACCTGGCCAAAATAGTGACTTTTGCAATAAATTATACCTCAGTAAATCTGTGAGAGAGATAACGAAAGAGAGAAAGAGAAAATGAGAGAGACTCAAAGGCACTGTATGAAAACCAAATGCAATGTGTAAACTTTGATTAGAGTCTAGTTCAAAACAAAGTAACTGTAAAGAGCATTAAGCAATAAGTGAAAATGAAAAAATTAATTTTCAGATGATATTAGAGAATTGTAAAGTTTTCTTAGGTATTATAATGTGATTATATTTATGTAATTTGTCATTACTCTTAGGATATGCATATCAAAGTATTTAGGGGTAAAATGTCTTGTGATATTTGTAAGCACTTTGAAATTGTTAATCATAAAGAGATTTAGTTAAATAAATATGGAAAAATGTTAATTATTGAACTTAGTTCGTTGGTATGTTTATTAACATTACTCTTTCAGTTTCTCTGTATATTTGAAATATTTCATAGAAAAATGATGAGGAAACTTGACCTTAATGAAATTGCTTAAGTTCTAAAAACTTTTGCAAAAACATTTATTATTTATTCTGCAAAAGTCAAAAGTGAAAATATTAGCAAATTATTATCATACAATTTTGTCAGAAAAATTATACATGAAAAATGAATTTTTTCTAAAAAGTATAGGATAGTTGCAATTATAACAATATTTGCTAAGATAAAAGAGACTTATTTTTATGATTTTGGTTTTTTATAATGTAATTTTTTTTTCTTTTACTCCTTACTGCCAAATGTTGGTCCCTCTGTTAAGGAGATTCATTTAAGTATCCTTTTCTGATAAAAAATTATCCTCCAATAGAAATGCTATCTATGCTATGTAGATCATAATGGAAAAGTTAATAAAGTGTGCTTGCAATGTACAGGTAGGTGGCAGCAATGTTTACAAAAACAGTTTTACAATGCTATGAGTTGTTAAGGTCTGCAATGAGTCCTTAATTGTAAAGTGCTGTATAAATTAACTGATCTTTACATTTCCTAAATTATCTTTGTGTCAACCATTGCTTATTAGTTATAGTTATATTCTATTATGTACACATTGTTTCTCAATTCAAGATCACAACAAATAACACTATTCTGTAGATCTCCATTCTGCATCCTAGGATAGTTTACTTCTAGTCAACTTATTTTCTACTCACACAAAGGAAATTTTGTCATTGAAAACATATTAAGATTTTCAAAAGCTTAATAAAATGGTTCTGCATTATAATTTTACTCTCGAGAAGACTTAAATTACCTTGAGTGAAAATTGGCAAGTAATGTAGGATACAGTTTTTAAATTTCAGACAGTCATTGCTTTGCAAAGTAGTGCAGGACCCTAAAAAAGACCATGTAAGCTGAAACCATGCAAACCAATCTTTGCTTGGGAAAAATTCCGATTGTTTCATGATCTTTAAAAAAAATGTATTAGTTGGACGCGGTGGCTAATGCCTGTAATCCCAGCACTTTGGGAGACTGAGGCGGGCGGATCACCTGAGGTCAGGAGTTCAAGATCAGCCTGGCCAACGTGGCGAAACCCCGTCTCTACTAAAAATACAAAAATTAGCTGGGCGTAGTAATCGCAGCAATAAGCTGGGCACGCCTGTAATATCAGCACTTTGGGAGGCCGAGGCAGGTGGATCACAAGGTCAGGAGATCAAGACCATCGTGGTTAACATGGTGAAACCCTGTCTCTAATGAAAAACACAAAAAAATTAGCCGGACATGGTGGCGGGCGCCTGTAGTCCCAGCTACTCAGGCGGCTGAGGCAGGAGAATGATGAGAACCCAAGAGGCGGAGCTTGCAGTGAGCCGAGATTGTGCCACTGCACTCCAGCCTGGGCAACACAGCGAGACTCTGTCTCAAAAAAAATAAAAATAAAGATACAAAAATAGTCAGGAGTGGTGGTGAGCGCCAGTAATACCAGCTACTCAGGAGGCTGAGGCAAGAGAATTGCTTGAACCTGGGAGGCAGAGGCTACAGTGAGCCGAGATCATGCCACTGTACTCCAGCCTGGGCGACAGAGTGAGATGCGGGCGGATCACGAGGTCAGGAGATCGAGACTATCCTGGCTAACACGGTGAAACCCTATCTCTACTTAAAAATACAAAAACTAGCTGGGCGAGGTGGCGGGCGCCTGTAGTCCCAGCTACTCGGGAGGCTGAGGCAGGAGAATGGCGTAAATCCGGGAGGCGGAGTTTGCAGTGAGCTGAGATC